CACTTTTAGCCTCTGCCAGAAACTATTTACATTTGGTAGTCGAAAAAGTGTGTAAAATTTGTATAATTTTTGTATATAACATACAGAATATATATATATATATATATATATATANCGACAATTATTTTTACAACGGCAATACAATATCATTTATAATTTAAAAAAAAGAAAGAAAAAGAAACAGTAGCAACAAACAATATTTGAACTACTGAGTAAGCCCATATATATATATATATATATATATCACCATGACGACTTCTGGTTATTAAATTGGAACCAACTAGGAGTCTAGCACTAAGCAACATGATTTCAAAGTCAAGGCGTATCGTGAAATGTACTTAATTAGTTAATTAATAGGATTATTAATCTTGGAATTAATGCCCTTTAAGCAACAAACTCGTACGGCTTTTAAGCAACTAGTCATATCATCAATTAATTAGGAGTATTCGTATGTCAATATTGCAATTAATGGCTCTCATGGTCCATATTGTGTTTGATTGTCATATGTGCAATTAATAACTATAAATCACTTAGTTTACTCCCTCCGGTCCACAACCAATTTATTTTTTTATTTTGGTCCAAAATAAGTATCCATTTATATAATCAAGAAAAAATTTAATTTGTTTTTTCAAAATTACTCTTATGTACGTATCCCTAAAAAGTCATTTACTCCTCACATTTAAAAAGAGAAGTAAGTGCTACTATAACTATGCTGCAACATTTAATTAAGGATAGTTTAGTCACACTAACTATTTTTGTCTAAATTTTAGTATTTCCTTAATAGGTGTGCACAAAGCAAAATTGATCACTTATTGTGGACCGGAAGGAGCGGCACTTAGCAACATGATTTCAAGTCAAGGGGCATCGTGAAATGTACTTAATTAGTTAATTAGTAGGAGTATTAATTAATCGTGGAACACCCTCTAAGCAACAAAAGTTGAAGATGACATTTCTAGAGCAATCCGTTTATTCATATATTATTAATGCAATTAATTAATGGCTCTAGTGGTCCATATTGTGTTTGATTGTCACATATGTGATTATCAACTATACATCACTTATTTTTACTAAAATAAATAACTTCCTTCCACATTTTCAAATAGGACAACCTTTCGCATTGTTGGTAAATTCTTAGGAAGACTATCTATTTTTCCGGAAAAGGATCAATTGAAATCCTCGAATTGTTTCTACTAGATGAATACATTCCCCTCAAGAAATCGGTAAATACTTTTGCTACGAAAAATACACAAGTGCCTCTTCTCCATAATTCCCCCCGCTCCCCCAAATCCCCCTCCCCCACCCAAAAAAAGAAAAGAAAAGAAAAAGACACTAGAGGTGCCAAAAGATGGACGCTAAATTCATTATTATCACTTTGTCGCACGAGTCTAAACTTACTCAAACTCATTCTCTCATCTCCTTTTTTCTCCTTACCTATATTCATGCGTTACCCGCATTTAAAATAAACAAAATACATAATATCAAGAAAATAATAATTTAACTGAAAATTATTTACACCCGCCTCAAACATAAGGAAAATAAACATTAATTGTAACTTAGTATAGTATAAACACATCAATCTCCAATTGTTCTAACATCAAATGAATTGTCCCAAATAAGATAAGGGACGACGAACAGTACATGTGATGCAGCACGTTGTACAAGTTGTTATCAAGGGACAAAGCAGTTATTGTCCCTTTTGCCATTGAAGGGACAAAAAGGAGAGAAGAAACCTTTCTCTTATTAGAGTTATAACAACAATATACCCCGTGATCACACAATGTGGGGTCCGGAAATGGTAGAGTGTACGCAGACCTTATCCCTACTTGTGTAAGGTAGAGAGACTATTTCGATAGACCCTCGGCTCAAGAAAAGAATTTTGTAAACATGTTTGAAAAATAAAAGAGTAAAACGCTATGATGAAAATTAGGGGTGTACAAAGGAAACCGATAAACCGTACCAACCCGAGAAAAAAATCCGAAGGTTGGTTTGATTGGGTTTGGTGTTTGGAAAAAAAAAACCCGACCATAATTGGTTTGGTTTGGTTTTAACTAAAGAAAGTCAAATCGAAACCAAACCAACCCGACATTATATATATAGAAGTTTTAAATATATTTANTAACTAAAGAAAGTCAAATCGAAACCAAACCAACCCGACATTACATATATAAATTTTTTAGATATATTTAATATATAAATATACTTATTGTGATGTAATTTATAAATATTTCTTAAAAGATTTCATAATTTTATTTTTTGAGGTATTATTTCAAGGTTGGACTTAGAACTTTTGAATGTTTCAATAAGTTTTATAGCCATTAACATTAGTAAATTAAATAGTGCTAACAAAAGCCCAAACCAAAATCAAATCAATACTAATGCTAACAACAGAAATTTAATTCAATACTACGAACGAGAATATATTGAATATCTATTTTTTGTTTTGCAATAATTTAGATAAAATGCATAACCTATTTTTATTTTTTCTTTAGCGTTTAGTCATGTATTTAATACTCCCTTATTAGTCTACTTATTTTATCATGACTTAGTACTCTTAGATTATGTTTATTTTTATTATGGCTTTTTTTATATTATATAATTTTATTGTTGAATATTTTAGGATAATGCCATGACATATCTCATATTTTGTATTATTTTCTTGGAAAATACTTTATATAGTTGTATTCTACTGGGACTAAAGAAATATTTTGAGCATAATTTATATGTTTTGTTCTACGAAGATTTTATCGGAAAAAACCCGAAAAAATCCGAAAATCCGAGAATGAAAAACCCGAGTTTTATTGGTTTAATTTGATCTTTAGATTTAATAATCCGACACAATTGATTTGGTTTGGTAATTGTAAAATCCGAACCAACCCGATCTATGTACACCCCTAATGAAGATACTGGGAAAAAAAAGTATTGCCAGCAAAAATAGCAAAGAGAACCAAAGTAAAAGATATACACTAGTAGTATAATTGAAGAATAAGATAATACTAGAATATGAAGAGTCCATTACTTAGATGATCACTAAACTATCGAAAATGATGTATTAAAGTTACTTTTCATTCATTTGTAACAAGAAAATCACTCAACTATCCTGGTTGCACTCTAATAAACACTCAATCAAATTTCTTAATATTTCCGATGAAAAAAAGCTGACTTGACAGTTCACATAGACTTTTTATATTTTTTGCCACATAAGATAGTTATCATCCAAACAAAAATTAATCCAACCTGGCCATTAAAGACAATACCACCGAAATAAACTTTGACTCCTAAATGCATCTTTCTTCCAAAAACTTTTGGACCCATTATTATTTTATATAACTGTTTTCTTCTTCGCTTGTGGATCGAAATAACATGGTGCATACGGAAACTAACAATACAAAGTTTGGTGAACGATAAATCAGACGACAAAAAGAAAAATATACTAAACTAAGCATAATAGTTTATTATGGTTTGATCAATTGATTCACATATGATAAAACTAATATAAAAGTAGAAAAACTATCGAGAGAAAAATCTACCCTTAAACAAAACTCTTTAGTGACTACATTGTGGATATTTTTTGTATTCTTGTGAGAAGCAAAAATCCTTACTTTATAGATGTGCAAAATTTATCTTCCAAGAAAAGGATGAGTCATGGGTTTTTGGAAAAGAAATACGTTTAGGAGTAAGGTTTATCTCGGGTGGGTTTACCTTTAATGGATCAGGTTTGGATTTATTTTTTGTTTGGGTGATAATTATTTTATGTGGCAAAAAATATAAAAAGTTAACGTGGACTGCCAAGTCAGCTTTTTCCACCGGAAATATTAAGAAATTTGGATGAGTGATCATCATTGTGCAAGAGGAATAATTAAATGACTTTCTTGTTACAATTGAAAGAAAAGTGACTTTGCTCCATAATTTTCAATAGTTCAGTGATTATCTGAGTAATAGACTCAGAATACGAATAACAATACTGATAAATAGAAGAGGGAGCAGATAAACCAAATCTTTTAATTCTTATTATCTTGGGATAAGCCTTGGCCACACGACTAAGCACACCTACTAATCCTATTTAGTTTAAAATTTATGATATTGACCAAACACTATGATATTCTATTTCAGATCCAATGATTTAATCAAATCTCTAACCTCAACAACAAGATCCTTATTGGATTCCTCTTTGAATATTTCATCTATATAATTTTATATGGTGATGTAAGCATGTTACTTTATTTAAACTCATACAATTTAGGTGCCGCCCTTCCCCTAACGCTGTGTAAATATGGGATGCTTTGATAATTCAATTCTAATTTTTGGAGATTTATCAAAATTGATTAACTTTGAGTTAGTTGCCGACCTGCTACAACATTCCTCCTTTATTCAGGCTTAGAACCAACAATGTAAGCATGCTCACACATTCAGACTTGGTGAGGAGATGTTTGAATGAACATGAAATTTGAAATATCAAGTTGACTTATATACTAGACTAACTATAGTTAAAAAAAAATAGTAGTTAAATACTCTGCATGAGTTAAAGAGTAAGTTTAATAATTAAAAAATTCACGTTAAAATTGTATGTGTTCTACGCTTGAAAGCTAGATCCACATGAGGTGTAATGCAAAGCCAAAAAAACGCCAATCGCTATCTCAAGATTAAACAAATACCCGCTAACAAACCAACCTCCGACCAATAACTAAAATTGCTCGGGGTTGGATAATCTATCAAATGCTAGTCTAAATGATTTGAACTTTCTTGTGAGAGTGGTACAGAATAATAAATCGAATATATTAAACATTTTGTAACATTCTGAAATAGACAGACTGCTATAATCAGTACAAAGAAACTACATTGTTCTCATTACTTTGGTACTTGGAATTTATTTTAGGATTTTCTGCTGCTTTGAGTACAGAAATATTTTTTATTTTATCAAGAAACAAGAGGTGCAGTAAACTATTACTATGTGCGAAATCTGAAGAAAGGTCGGACCACATCAGGTCTATTGTACAGTAAAATTAATAGAAAGAATCACAAACTTCATTGCAAAACAAGTGAAGTGACCACTATAACATCGCGAAATACAAATGGTATTGGTGTTGGACTGTTGGCGTTAGCGCTAGCTAACCCTCAAACAGAACCATAGACATACACAAGAATTAACCAAATTGATATAATGCTGGTGTTAGCGCTAGCTAACACTCAGATACAAACCATAGAAATATGCTGGTGTTAGCGCTAGCTAACACTCAGATACAACTTAGATCAAGAACAAAGATTTCACGACAAAAAATGGTAATAGAGGTGGCATTGGCCGGCGTTAGCGCTAGCTAACTCACGGACATTATAGCCACATTGACACGAAACGTCTTACTGTATAACTGACTAAAAGCAAATGGAAAAAATGGCGGAGGATGCTGGCGTTAGCGCTAGCTAACACTCAGGCAAATTACCACATTTTCAAATGACATTCTATACTTTTATCTTATAGTAAAATGACTTCTTGAAATGGTTGGTTCAATAATGTATTGGCCACCATCCCTTCTGCTGCTGCTGCTGCTGCTGCTGCTGCAGCTACTCTTTACATGTATGTTTTTATAGTCTTTACTGAACTGTGCCATTCTTGTCCACCAATAATTTGCTAGTTGGAAATACACAAATTATTGACTGCTGCAGAAATCCAAGAATCCCATGAACTCATGGTTCTGTATCATACTGATGCTCTTCTCTATCCCTATCACCCCTGTAACCATTGCATAAATCGAGAAAAAATCATTTTCTTGCTTCTTAATTTTATGTCGAGACCCGAGACATAATTAATATGATAGATATTAAACGTACTCTCTCTAAAAGCTTAAGTTTTTAAATATGATGGTCACACAATTCAATATTTTATGGCGATATAAAAAAAGGGCATCTCGGTGCACGAAGTATCCCGCGTTCACATAGGGTCCGGGGAAGGGCCGCACCCCAAGAAGGTGTACTATAGGCAGCCTACCCTCATGCAAGCATCAGTGGCTGATTCCACGGCTCGAACCCATGACCTATAGGTCACACCGAGACAACTTTATCGTTGCTCCAAGGCTCCAAGACAATTTTACAATATTTTAATTTATGGCGATATGAAGTTCAAGAATTATTTATTGACTTACCCATTGTTAGAGCGCTGGCGAAAATGACACCAGAGAGTATGAATACAATGAGTGATGCTCTCTTTAAGATTGCGATAAGTTTTCTAATGAAGCATTGTCCCCAAAAGCCAGCAAGAATAGATACACTCATGAGATATAGAGCTGCAATATGAGTTTTAGTTAGTCCTGAGGATAATGTTGCAAATAATGTACAAGACTTGAGTGAAAATTTTGAGAAACTTGTTGAGTCTAAGAATATACCATAAGGCATTGGGAATCTCTTGAGGAGATAAAACTCTACCACTGATAAAGATGATGAGAACATCATCACAAATGTTGCTGTTGCACTAGCTACCTGTAGAAGTAAAAAACAATGTCCTTTCTGTCAATTTTCCAATTGATTGAAACAGTCATCTTTCCTGTAATATTCCTTAGATATTTCCACAAAGACATCTTCATAAAATCATAATAGCACAATGTACTGTCAGTATAAAAAGGGCAGCCAAGCTCCCACTATGAGCGGGATCCTGGGAAGGGCCGACCACAAGGGTCTATTGTACACAGACTTATCCTGCATTTCTGCAAGAGGCTGTTTCTACAGGTCGAACCCGTGAGCTCCTGGTCACATGACCCCCTTCAATGTACTGTAACTTAAATTCTTTTTGAACCTTTTCGCTATACTAGAGTTGTCACGAACTTACTAGGGCCTCTACCAATCCCTCTCTACCTTCTATTATTTGTATCCCACTAGGGCCACCACACTAAATGTACTTAAATAATGGTCAAGTTTAGAAGAAGTGACTAATTTTTTAAAAAGGAGACATAAGTGAGAGTAAAGGCTTTCCAACAAGAGGTACTTAAAAAGTAAGAGTAAAGGCTGTCCCATAAAGATGTACATCTTGTTTTAGAATCTTGGTGATTGACATCCATCATGTGCAATAATTAACCAAGTATGTTCATATCTAGTGTTGACTTCTTGCAAAAAACTCTGGCACTCAACCATATCATATTAAACAAAATCTGTAAAATGTACATCCCAATTCAACAACTACTACTACTACGACACAATGCCAAGTAAGCTGAAGTCGGCTATATGAACTTTCACTGTCCAAAATCGGATATCGTAATCAAGAAATTAATAAATGAGGTAACGACAATGGCCGTACCTGAGGGATAACTCCAATCTCAAGAAGAAGAGGGCCAAGAATGAATCCACCACCAGATCCTAGCAATCCTCCAACAGTGCCTCCCAATATGCCACAAAGGGCACAGAAGATAAGGTTTGTGGCAGTCCATTGAATGTCAGCCTCACATATTGACTGTGTATTCCCTTCTAATCTCCTCTTCTTGCTTTCCTTGTACAATTTCGCACATTCATACCCAAACACTGCAAATGCTACTGGGAACTGAAAACAAAATGCATTCCATAAGACTCAACCTCACCATACACAGATAATATTATATAAACGACTTAAATACACGATAGAGTATTGCAAGTGGCAGAAATGGCCTTGCTGCCAATATTTATGTACCTGTAGTAAGTTGAGCACCCAGTAAAATGGAGTACAAGCCACTAGATTGTTCTGTAAACAGGTTAAAAATAGTTGAGTTTAGGTGCACACCAATGGGCATTTCATCGACAAGTTAATTTTTAGCGCGTTTAAATCTAGTAAATATGTTTATAAGAAACAAGCACAAATTAAAATTAGAAGGTAGAGATTTCACTTGCCTTAAACACTTGAAGAAGTAGAAATATGAACCATACAACAAAGAGCACCAGAATTCTCTTCAAATTAAGGTTGAACTTAAAAATTTCCTGTGAGATATCAAATTAGACAATTAGAATCAATAAAATAAGCTTAGAAATCGGAGCCAAAAACAGAAAATTCTCCATTTGATGTAGTAAATTAACTTACCAGCGGTGTTTTCTCCTCCCTAGGGACCAGTGGCTCATACATTGTATCAATAACAATAACTGAAAGAAAGCAAGTAAAATTAACAAATATTAGCCTAATTTAAATTAGGATTAAATCAGTAATTACTTTTTCTTAGTAAAAAAAAAAACAGAGAAGTGTAATCAGTTCTTGGACGACATACGTTCACCACGTGAATTTACTGGAACTTCTTCCATTGATTTCTGCAAGTTCCAAATAACACAGATGAAGAATTAGTTACCATCAACTGTAACTAATTGACTGCTATAAAAACAAATAGTAATACATTCTTAATCTCATTGATATTGTTTAAGTAATTTATACTATATGTTAAGTACATTTGAAAGAAAAATCCTCTTGTAAATCATTGGATTAGTTGAGCTAACCTTGAGAATAGTTTCTTCTTTCCACATCTCAATTGCTTTAAAAAATGATCTTGATGAAGTCCCTATTACCAAACAATAATATAATTAGAGTTGCTTTAAGCAATGATGTCAGACTTAAGAACAAAAACCAATAGTTTAACAAACACAAATCCAAATCTTGCATTAGGAAAACAAGGATGATAACATAAAGGACCAATAATGAAATTAATCATGGTTAATGAAACGGACTTAACTTCTATCCACTGATAGTATATTTTAACATGTCGCAACAAGTATACTGTCTGTCTTATTTGCCAAATTACTAATCTACACTTATGGAACAGTTGCATAATTATCTTTAAGATAATATATACTCAGACCTCTCTACAGCAGTCATTCACTATAAAACCCAAGTTTTTCTCGGACTCAATTTTTATGTTATGTTATGATATATGTTCTTTATAACAACACTTCACTATAACAGCCAAAATATTTCGGAACAAACGAGTATGTTATAAAAAGATTTGAATGTATGTAAGTATATAAAACTTAAATATCGCGAAAATTACCCATAAAGAGGATGATGATGAGGACAGTGATGAGCCAGTAGGGGAAGACAACACTTAGAGAAACACCAAGTGTGATGCCAAACATGAGCATAGGCTGAAATAATAGAGCCAAATCATAATCAAGTATAGGTACTTCTCTGCATGGATGTGGTACCCTCAAATTGTACCATACTGATGATGCTGATGCCCCCATTATCATACCTGTAAAAAAGCAAATCAACTTTTCAACAGAATGAAAAGTGTACACAAAAGAAAATACAAATAATTCAGATCTACCCCACTTTAACCATATCTTTTCCTGACCTTTTACTCATCCAAGTCACTTGTTTTTTATTTTGTAAAGCTTGCACAATTCTCAACTATATAAAGAAAGTCAAGTATCTCATGTTCACACATGGTTCGGGAAGGGCCGCATCCCGGGATGTAAGGTAGACAGCTTATTAGTGGCTTCTTCCACCACTCGAACCGTGATCTATAGGTTACACATAGATAACTTTATTATTGCTCCAAGACTCCTCTTCAATAATTCCCGACTATTCTATTGAATATTGCTATACATTACCAACACAGGTACCGAATAACTCTTTGTCTACGAATTGTAATGCTATTAATCTCTTATATGAAATGCAAAGAGAGAATGCTTACATTTGGAAAGAGCAGCAGCAGATTTTGTATCAAACCCAAGAAGCAAAGTAAGCATAGGAACAAAAATGCCGCCTCCACCAACACCTCCTACAGTACCACAAGCTGACCCCAAAAATCCTATTATTGTTGCCACAACAATTCTCCAACTAAATTTCAGTTCCTGCAACATGAAAATGAAGGGGAAAAAACCATAAAAACCAAAAACAATTTAAGGTAAATCAATACTCTTTTTTGCTCCACATCTATATACCACATGTGGAGGAGAACCTTGACTTAACTGATATAGTTGCTGATATGTGACCAGAAGGTCACGGATTCGAGCCTTAAAAATACCCTCTTGCAGAAATATAAGGTAAGACTACCCTTATGGTCCAACCCTTTTCTTTACCTCGCGCATAGCGGAAGCTTAGCACTGGGCTACCTTTTTTTTTTTTTTTTTTTTTTATGTATATACCACATGTTTGTAACTATAAACAACAACAATAAAACTGAGTAAATTTTGAGAGGTGGGTACGCAAGCCTTACCTCGGCCCTGGAAGGGGCAGAGAGTCTATTTCCATTAGACCGTACAATAATAAAACCCCGAGAAATTTTACATGTGGGGACCTTACCCCGACCGTAGGAGGGCAAAGAGGCCGTTCCCATTAGACCACATGTTTGTAACCGGACATAGAAAAACAAGAAACATGCATATATATAGAAGATTATAACAAGAAACATGAATTACCGGCCAAACTTTGTCTTCAGATCCAATGGGTCGTTGCAAAAGATTAGAACTTTGATATAATTTTGGTGTAAATTTTCCATCTTGGAAGTTCTGGACAAAGAAAACTGATAGAACCGCCACAGAAAAACCTGCAAACAGATAAATCAAGAACCCTTTTGTAGCCATAGCCGAATGAAAACTAAAATCTTCTCTTTTTCTCTGCAAAGAACTCTCTCTTATCTTACGTTCTTTCCCTAATGAAGATTTTGAAATATATGGCTAGCCTACCAGCTTGGCGCTACCACATGTATTTATATAGGATGTTACAAAAATGAATGAATAAAAGAATCTTATTTGGAGTCTACCTGGAATTATTTCTGCCAAAAACAGTAGTAATATATTTTCCTTATCTTTTTTGGTAGGTGGTGAAATTTTGTTTTCTTTTTCTGTTTTATTTTAGTCAGGGATTGGGGGTGGCGGCATTAAGGGAATGGAGGCACATGTATCAACTTAACATTTCTGAAATAGACCAAATTAATACTCTCTCCGTTTCAATTTACGTGAATTTTCTTGGAGTAGGAGGATCAAATTGACTGGTTTAAGTGTGAATTTTGATATAAATTTTTCAAATTATTAAAAATAAAATTTATATATTTAAAAATTATAATAGTTAACATTTAAAAATATTTGCCAAAAACTATGATAAATTTATTTTGTTTGATTTCCCATATAATAATAATAATAACAAAATGGTGAATGCATGCTACGTGGTACACATTATTTTGTCTTGTAACCTATTTACGTCATAACAATGTGGTAGAGTGGTAAATACTCTTTCATATTTAACCAGAGGTCTCGGGTTCGAGCCCCTGGATATGGAGTCGCCTTTGTTAGGAAGCATTTTACCCCTCAATGTGGGACTTCCCGACGCTAATTCGGATTTAGTCGGGTCCCAATGTGGGTACCGAACACCGGATGAAAACCAAAAAAAAAATAGTTCCGATTCTTGCATTAAGGTTCAAGCCGTAAAAGCAATAACTAATACTTACTTTAAGATTGACCGTCTATATCACATCTCTAAGGCTGCAGCTTTTTTTCGAACCTGTATAAAGAGAGAATGCATTGTAGAGTGGATTGCCCTTTAATAATTTCGGTTCCTGAATAAACAAAGGATTGTTGTTTAGAGAAAGTCAATTTTTTTCATTACTTTTTTTTTTTTTAAATATAGAACTTCACTAATTACTTTCTCAACACAATATTGTTTTACTTTTTACAGTATAAACTTCAAACTATAATTCCACATAAAAGCAGTTACTATATGTTTGTAAACTAATGCTAATAATACTAAATTGAAAACTGACAGTCAAATTAGATGTACTTTTTACAAATTTTGACCACATTTTGAAGTAGTGATCTATGTTGTGTTGTTGCAAGATAAGTACCAAGTGTATCAACAGAAAAAGAAACAAAATAAAAAAGAGTAATTTCGTCGAAATTTCTAATTTGGAAGTATCTTGAATCATAGATTCATTAGGTATTCAAATTTGGAACGAATACGTTACTATAAAATAAATATAAGGACAATTTTAGAAGAGAAATGGAATCTTTATGCCTAAATTTGTTAGATCTTTTTCTCTTGTAATCATTTTGACCAAAATAACGCCTTTTTTAAGATCGAAAAATCTAAGATTAGTAACGGAAATTTTAAAATTCGATGAATAATGAACTCGCCCTTTAATCTCCTTTTATTCTCTACTTAATACTACTTCCTTCGGTTCATTTTTAATGATTTTTTTGGTCTTTTTTTTGTGGTCCACAATATTTTGTTTTTCCGAATATTAAGAAGGAATTAACTTTTTCTTTTCCAAAGTTGTTCATAAAGTAAAGAACCTAAGGGTATTTCTTATATTTTCAATGAACAAATTAAGATTAATATGATCAATTTTATTATTAATTAATACTAAAAGTTAAATTCTCTTAATATGTGTAAAAATGGTAAAAGAATTAATTAAAGTGGACCAAAGGGAGAAGTTCTGGTAAAGGTCTGTTTCAGAAATTAAGGGAAATGTCTTTCAAATGTCCACCTTGTATTGCTAAAAATCAATTACTATCGTTTTCCTCCACTTATCGTATGCTTTTTTTCTTTTTCTTTTTAATACTTTGTATTTAGTTCTTTTATTATCATTGACAGAAGATCAAATTTAATTTTGGTTTGTGGGATACAAGGAAATTTCAAAAAAAAAATAAAAAAGGAAATCTTTATAACTCCTGTAAATTTTTGGCCATAAAGACTATAAAAAAACTCATATAATGTATTTGGTCTCATTTATCCCTAAACTTTCAATGTATACTAGAATGATAAATACTTATTTGTATCGGATGTTTGCACAAAATCAAATAATTTAACCATGAGAATCACAAATTAAAATATAAATGCATATCATCTAACTATGGTTAAGTGATAAATTCATGCATCCATTTGCTTGATATAAATACGGGATAAGGGTAAATTTCATACTGAAATTTTTTGAACACGATTTTAACTATGAATTTTGATACCAAATCGGTCCAAATCACTTCCAATCTTACTCAAACTTTATATATTGACTCATCTATATGTTTTCAATGAATTTCAACTATACGCATTGAAAAATATCTTTTTTGCTTAGATTTTTGGAATCTTGTATATATATATTTTTGTATTTCATCACCTTATTTGTTCCATCATTCATGAAATTTCCTTGCCGTCTTGCATCTAATGTTGCTAATCACGATTAAAATATGAAAGGAAATCTTTGCATGTGATTCTTGGAGAGAAAAAATCTTATTTATTTGGGTTTTCAATTTTTATATGTGTTAGACTAGTATTGGTAAGTTTATGATTAATGTCAGAGGTTAGTAAGTTGAGACTTATTTAGGATATTCTTGTAAGATTTTCCTAATTCTATTCTCTTTTGGTTTTTATTTCTATTCAAAATTGGATTCGATTTTTATTCTTATTCGAATTTGGTTTTGATTTTAAAAGAAAGCACCATTCATTATCTATAATTACTGCTCCGTTATATATAGAGGCGGATTCAAAAAAAAAAAAAAAAAAAAAAAAAAAAA